GAGAGAGAGAGAGAGAGAGAGAGAGAGAGAGAGAGAGAGAGGGAGGGAGGAGGAGGGAGGGAGAGAGAGAGAGAGAGAGAGAGAGAGAGAGAGAGAGAGAGAGAGAGAGAGAGAGAGAGAGAGAGAGAGAGAGAGAGAGAACAAGGAAAAAGGAAAAAGAGAGAGAGAGACACAGACCGGAAGCGCCGCCATGAATCACCCTAATGATTAACCTCGAAGGGGGGGACAAGGTAGGTCGCTGTAATTAGTTGTCATTAATAGCGATCGCTATCATCATCACCCAAAGAAGCGGATGACGTCAGTGTGTGCTTTTAGAAGCGGCCTTTGGATGCGAAGTTTTGGTCTTAGAAGGCTGGAGGAGAAGGAGGTGATGAAAATACATACATACAAGAGAGAAAGAGAGGGAGAGAGAGAGAGAGAGAGAGAGAGAGAGAGAGAGAGAGAGAGAGAGAGAGAGAGAGAGAGAGAGAGAGAGAGAGAGAGAGAGAGAGAGAGAGAGAGAAAGAGAGAATTAGCTTTTGGATACGAATTTTTGGTCTTAAAAGGTATGAGGAGAAGAAGGTGATGAAGGACGGTAGATGAGAATTAATGATGATGATAGGAAAGGTAAAGATAGTGACGGTAATGGCGATAGTGGTGGGCATTAGTCATCGAAACTAATAATAGCGATGACTATGGTTTCTGCTCATTCTTCTCTTAATAATGAAAGCATTACTGATAATCATGCTCTACCATTAATAAATTTGATAAAAGCATAATGGCGAGAAATGTAATGGAAGCGTCGGAATAAAGTTGTGAAATAGATCATCAGACGATCTGTAAATACGCAGCTGCCCACTGCTACTAGCTGTGACGTCATATCCATTGATTAAGGTGGATTTCCGGATGAAAGACGGGTGAGAGAATGAACGAGAGGAATAGGAATAAAATGGGCGGATGAAAGAAGGGAGAGGGAAAGGGGAGGAAAGAGAGAGCGAGTGAGGGAGAAGAGGAAGGGAGGGAGAGAAGGAGAGAGAGAGGGAGTAGGAAAGCGAGAAATATAACGAATGGGAGAATGAAAGTTTACGAATATAGGAAAGGAAGAAGATTAGGATCAGAGGCAAATGGGATTAGAGGCGAAACGAAAATGAAAAGGGACTGAAGTTAAGAAAATCTTTTAAAGCTTGTTATAGAGACTTTTACGAAAATACATCGAAATTTTTATCCTATTTACAACATCTCTTTTTCGTAGATTCCCATAAAATTTCATACCATTAGGGTCACTTTGATTAACAGAAGCGTCCCTTCTTTAGGCACTGATAATAACTTTGTTTTATTTTACTATGTATTACTTTATTGGGGAAAAATGGTGAATTATGAGGAACACAGACATCTCTTCCGGCAGTGTATATACCCTTCAATAATTTCATCGTGGGAGAGTTAATGGTAATAATTCTTCTAGAATGGTTCACTCGCGAAAGCTATAATATCGCGGAGGAAAGCAACTGAACATTCATCATAGTTATCCCTAAAAAATCTTAAACCCGTTCACGTTTTCTGTAATTGCGGAGTGGCGTATAGGTCAGGGAAAGGTGAAAAGGGTTTAAGGATTTATGATAGTTTTGCCTTAAATGCTTATCCCAGAAATCGTTTTCTGTGATTCATGTTACAGTCATAAATGCATTCGCAATAAATTCTATATCAAGGCTTATGATTCATCGCGTTTTATCTAATTGCTGGGTAAAGTTACTTGCCTCCAGGCATCAGGGTGAAGCAAAAGTTAAATCGTTCGAAAAGAAAAAGAAAAAAAAAAGAAAAAAAAAGAAAAAAAGAAAAAAAAAAGAAATAGAAAAATCGTTCGAAATGCACCTGAAACTGTGATTATTTATGACATGGAAGCAAATCACATAGTGTTCAAATACATATAATATATATATATATATATATATATATATATATATATATATATATATATATATATGTATGTGTGTGTATATATATATATATATATATATATATATATATATATATATATATATATATATATATATATATATATATATATATATATATATATATGTTGAATAATTATCATTCATTAGTCTTTCCCTTCAATTAAGCTCATGTTTCTCCCGTTTTCTGAGCAGTGTCATTTAGGTCGAGTTAAGTTTGAAATAAGAGCTTTAGACTAGATATTCATTATACATTACAAGAATGTTACAACATTTATTAATAAAGTTCTCCGTTGAAATTACCTAAGTTACACCACTTTTTGTGTACTTGCAGAGTGTTGCTAGGGTGGAGCAAATATTGAAATACATGCATTTATCATCGTTATGATCCAAATCAAACAAATATGAAAAACTATTAACGCGTATCATTTGTCAAACTTTCCCCTGACACAAGCTATTGCTATGACAGACTAAACCAAGATACTTCAAGCCATTACTCACCACCTTTCCCCCCTCCCCCCTTCCCCCCCAGCCCGAACTCAGCTAATCCACGTTGCCTTTCCTTGCAG